GACCGCGCTTGCGACCGGTGGGGGGGGGGAGGGTTGCGTGACGGAGCGAGCGGGCGGTTGCGCGACCGGTTGCCGCCTCTCGAGCGACAGTTGCGTGAAACCGATTGCTCGGGCGTTGACCCCCCCCCCCCCCCCCCCCCCCCCCCCCACCGGGGTTGAACGGGATATGATTATATATAATATAGTTTATTAGTTGCACGCCGGACAAAACTAATGCATCCGCGCTGAAACTAAATTGTACAGAGCTAACCGCCCGCGACACACAGGGAGTTGCCGAGCAAGCGACTGTCCTTACAATTGGATAGTTTTTTTTATTATTATTATTCTTGTTATATATATATTTTGTTTTCCTAAGTTCCAGACGTCGTCATCAACCGGGGCGTAACTTCGAGCGTCCAGACGGCACACGCCGCATCCTGGATACCACTCGCTATGGGCTGTGGCTTACAGTTGTCTTGTACGTACATAGGTGTATGTTGAGGCTATGGGGAGTGTTGAGTCTATGGGCAGTGTTGAGGCTATGGGGAGTGTTGAGTCTATGGGCAGCGTTGAGTCTATGGTGGTGTTGCGTCTATGGACAGTGTTGAGTCTATGGGCAGTGTTGAGTCTATGGGCAGTGTTGAGTCTATGGTGCAGTGTTGAGTCTATGGGCAGTGTTGAGTCTATGGGCAGTGTTGAGTCTTTGGTGCAGTGTTGAGTCTATGGTGCAGTGTTGAGTCTATGGGCAGTGTTGAGTCTATGGGCAGTGTTGAGTCTATGGTGCAGTGTTGAGTCTATGGGCAGTGTTGAGTCTATGGGCAGTGCTAAGTCTATGGGCAGTGTTGAGTCTATGGGTAGTGTTGAGTCTATGGGCAGTGTTGAGTCTATGGGCAGTGTTGAGTCTATGGGCAGTGTTGAGTCTATGGTGCAGTGCTGAGTCTATGTGCAGCGTTGAGTCTATGGGCAGTGTTGAGTCTATGGTGCAGTGTTGAGTCTATGGGCAGTGTTGAGTCTATGGGCAGTGTTGAGTCTATGGGCAGTGCTAAGTCTATGTGCAGTGTTGAGTCTATGGGTAGTGTTGAGTCTATGGGCAGCGTTGAGTCTATGGGCAGTGTTGAGTCTATGGGCAGTGTTGAGTCTATGGTGCAGTGTTGAGTCTATAGTGCAGTGCTGAGTCTATGTGCAGCGTTGAGTCTATGGGCAGTGTTGAGTCTATGGTGCAGTGTTGAGTCTATGGTGCAGTGTTGAGTCTATGTGCAGCGTTGAGTCTATGGGCAGTGTTGAGTCTATGGTGCAGTGTTGAGTCTATGGGCAGTGTTGAGTCTATGGGCAGTGCTAAGTCTATGGGCAGTGTTGAGTCTATGAGTAGTGTTGAGTCTATGGGCAGTGTTGAGTCTATGGGCAGTGTTGAGTCTATGGGCAGTGTTGAGTCTATGGTGCAGTGCAGAGTCTATGTGCAGCGTTGAGTCTATGGGCAGTGTTGAGTCTATGGTGCAGTGTTGAGTCTATGGGCAGTGTTGAGTCTATGGGCAGTGTTGAGTCTATGGGCAGTGCTAAGTCTATGTGCAGTGTTGAGTCTATGGGTAGTGTTGAGTCTATGGGCAGCGTTGAGTCTATGGGCAGTGTTGAGTCTATGGGCAGTGTTGAGTCTATGGTGCAGTGTTGAGTCTATGGTGCAGTGCTGAGTCTATGTGCAGCGTTGAGTCTATGGGCAGTGTTGAGTCTATGGTGCAGTGTTGAGTCTATGGGCAGTGTTGAGTCTATGGGCAGTGTTGAGTCTATGGTGCAGTTTTGAGTCTATGGGCAGTGCTAAGTCTATGGGCAGTGTTGAGTCTATGGGCAGTGTTGAGTCTATGGGCAGTGTTGAGTATATTGGCAGTGTTGAGTCTATGGTGAAGTGTTGAGTCTATGGGCAGTGTTGATTCTATGGGCAGTGTTGAGTCTATGGGCAGTGTTGGGTCGATGGGCAGTGTTGAGTCTATGGGCAGTGTTGAGTCTATGGTGCAGTGTTGAGTCTATGGGCAGTGTTGAGTCTATGGGCAGTGTTGAGTCTATGGTGCAGTGTTGAGTCTATGGTGCAGTGTTGAGTCTATGGGTAGTGTTGAGTCTATGGGTAGTGTTGAGTCTATGGGCAGTGTTGAGTCTATGGGTAGTGGTAGTCTATGGGCAGTGTTGAGTCTATGGGCAGTGTTGAGTCTATGGGCAGCGTTGAGTCTATGGGTAGTGTTGAGTCTATGGGTAGTGTTGAGTCTATGGGCAGTGTTGAGTCTATGGGTAGTGGTAGTCTATGGGCAGTGTTGAGTCTAGGGGGAAGTGTTGAGTCTATGGGCAGTGTTGAGTCTATGGGCAGTGTTGAGTTTATGGTGGTGTTGCGTCTATGGGCAGTGTTGAGTCTATGGGCAGTGTTGAGTCTATGGGTAGTGGTAGTCTATGGGCAGTGTTGGGTCTATGGGCAGCGTTGAGTCTATGGGCAGTGTTGAGTCTATGGGCAGTGTTGAGTCTATGGGTAGTGGTAGTCTATGGGCAGTGTTGAGTCTATGGGCAGTGTTGAGTCTATGGGCAGCGTTGAGTCTATGGGCAGTGTTGAGTTTATGGTGAAGTGTTGAGTCTATGGGCAGTGTTGAGTCTATGGGCAGTGTTGAGTATATTGGCAGTGTTGAGTCTATGGTGAAGTGTTGAGTCTATGGGCAGTGTTGAGTCTATGGGCAGTGTTGAGTCTATGGGCAGTGTTGAGTCTATGTGCAGCGTTGAGTCTATGGGCAGTGTTGAGTCTATGGTGCAGTGTTGAGTCTATGGGCAGTGTTGAGTCTATGGGCAGTGTTGAGTCTATGGTGCAGCGTTGAGTCTATGGGCAGTGTTGAGTCTATGGTGCAGTGTTGAGTCTATGGGCAGTGTTGAGTCTATGGGCAGTGTTGAGTGTATGGTGCAGTGCTAAGTCTATGGGCAGTGTTGAGTCTATGGTGCAGTGTTGAGTCTGTGGGCAGTGCTAAGTCTATGGGTAGTGTTGAGTCTATGGGCAGTGTTGAGTCTATGGTGCAGTGTTGAGTCTATGGGCAGTGCTAAGTCTATGGGCAGTGCTGAGTCTATGGGCAGTGCTAAGTCTATGGGCAGTGTTGAGTCTATGTGCAGCGTTGAGTCTATGGGCAGTGTTGAGTCTATGGGCAGTTGTTGAGTCTATGTGCAGCGTTGAGTCTATGGGCAGTTGTTGAGTCTATGTGCAGCGTTGAGTCTATGTGCAGTGTTGAGTCTATGGTGCAGTGCTGAGTCTATGTGCAGTGCTGAGTCTATGGTGCAGTGCTGAGTCTATGTGCAGTGTTGAGTCTATGGGCAGTGTTGAGTCTATGGGCAGTGTTGAGTCTATGGGCAGTGTTGAGTCTATGGTGCAGTGTTGAGTCTATGGGCAGTGTTGAGTCTATGTGCAGTGTTGAGTCTACGTGCAGTATTAATGTGTATGTGTGCGTACGTTGAACTTCTTTCGCACCGTACGTAGCCAACCGTGCCCATCGGATGTGCGATCATGGTCTTGGTTTCTTTCCCCCCCGCCGGATCGTCACACGTCCTGGTGCACCTTCGCCTCGCCAGGACGTACCAAGCCACGTCATCGTGTAACAATGACGCAAATGCAAATGAAAGTTTTCCGCGGAGATTTGCGGGCGGTACGAGCGGGCCAAGGCGGCGGCAGCCGCGCGATCGCCGACCAGTTCAAAGGCGTCGAATCCCACCGGCGGGCCGCCCTGGTTAATACCGCAGCGCGGGAATAAAACGTAACGGGTGTAAATGAGCCCCGCTGCCGCGACGCGCCGTGTGCGCTCCGCTCAAAGCGGACGTTTCAGAAGTACCCCTCGAGGTAGGTCGCAGAGGGCGGAGCGCCAGCATCCCGCTGTGTTGTGTATGTGTGTGTGTGTGTCGCATGGCAAAATGTAGCGGTCCAGTTACAATTGGGACAACGATTTTTTGACCGTGCAAATTTTTGTTTTGTTTTTGTTGTTTGCTCGATCGGGATCGCACGCGGCAGCCGCGGCAGCCGCAGGAGATGTGAAGCGATGAGAGAGATAAAGTGATGAGAGATAAAGTGATGAGAGAGATAAAGTGATGAGAGATAAAGTGATGAGAGATAAAGTGATGAGAGATAAAGTGATGAGAGATAAAGTGACGAGAGATAAAGTGATGAGAGATAAAGCGATGAGAGATAAAGCGATGAGAGATAAAGTGATGAGAGAGAAAGCGATGAGAGATAAAGTGATGAGAGATAAAGTGATGAGAGATAAAGTGGCGAGAGATAAAGCGATGAGAGATAATGTGATGAGAGATAAAGTGATGAGAGATAAAGTGATGAGAGATAAAGCGATGAAAGATAAAGTGATGAGAGATAAAGTGACGAGAGATAAAGTGATTAGAGATTAAGCGATGAGAGATAAAGTGATGAAAGAGATAAAGTGATTAGAGATTAAGCGATGAAAGATAAAGCGATGAGAGATAAAGTGATGAGAGATAAAGTGATGAGAGATAAAGTGATGAGAGATAAAGTGATGAGAGATACAGTGATGAGAGATAAAGTGATGAGAGATAAAGTGATGAGAGATAAAGCGATGAGAGATAAAGTGATGAGAGATAAAGTGATGAGAGATAAAGTGATGAGAGATAAAGTGATGAGAGATAAAGCGATGAGAGATAAAGTGATTAGAGATAAAGTGATGAGAGATAAAGTGATTAGAGATTAAGCGATGAAAGATAAAGTGACGAGAGATAAAGCGATGAGAGATAAAGTGATTAGAGATTAAGCGATGAAAGATAAAGCGATGAGAGATAAAGTGATGAGAGAGATAAAGCGATGAGAGATAAAGTGATGAGAGATAAAGTGACGAGAGATAAAGCGATGAGAGATAAAGTGATTAGAGATTAAGCGATGAAAGATAAAGTGACGAGAGATAAAGCGATGAGAGATAAAGTGATTAGAGATTAAGCGATGAGAGATAAAGTGATGAGAGATAAAGTGATGAGAGAGATAAAGCGATGAGAGATAAAGTGATGAGAGAGATAAAGCGATGAGAGATAAAGTGATGAGAGATAAAGTGATGAGAGATAAAGTGATGAGAGAGATAAAGCGATGAGAGATATTTCATTTTCGTTGTTTCGACGCCTTTGTTTGCACTTCTAGTTTCGCTTCGATGCCGTGCGCCACTGTAAGATGTCACCACATCTACGCCTCGACGTACGGAACGAAACATGTGGACGACTTCTCCGCAAATCTGGCTGTCGCCTGATGAAGCTGGTTGCAATCGTCGGCGAAAACGTCGTACTAGGTTGTGTGCTGCTGCACTAGCGAGAGAATTGGCCGCGTTCTGTTCACGTGACAAACCTCGCTGGTTGACCGTGCCGGGCGGCGGTGGCGGGTTTAACTGGGCGTTTGTATATTTACGCGACACCAAACTTCCAGAACCCGCATTGCGGATGACATTGGTCGCGAGAGCCTCCCAACTTGTTAAACTGGAGCGGGGGAAAGGTTGCCAAAGAGGTAGAAGTCAACGCGTGCGCCCGGCACACCACATCGAGTAGAACCCCTCGCCCCCCTACCCCCCCCTACCCCCTCGCCCTCCACGACGATCGACAAATCCGCTGCGCCTGCGAATCCGCTCCGCGCTCTAAACTGGCGACCCGGCAAAAGCGGGGCAGGCGGCTGTGCACCGGCGGTCCTCCAGCCGGCGCCGTCTGAGGTTTCGGTCGTGTGCCGCGGTTCCGCTCGCCGTCGACAAGCACAGCGGAGTGGCCGGCCCAGGCCCTGGTGACCGTTCAGTCTCATCGCGTGGAGTTAACGGCCGGGCTGAGAGTCGCGAAGCGGACTCGGAGCCGTGGGACTGGATTCGGAGTTGTGAGTAAATTAAGAGTCGCGGACTGGATTCAGAGGCATGGACTGGATTCAGAGGCGTGGACTGGATTCGGAGGCGTGGACTGGATTCAGAGGCGTGGACTGGATTCAGAGGCGTGGACTGGATTCAGAGTCGTGGACTAAATTAAGAGGCATGGACTAAATTAAGAGGCGTGGACTGGATTCAGAGACGTGGACTGGATTCAGAGGCGTGGACTGGATTCAGAGTTGTGAGTGGATTCAGAGTCGCGGACTGGATTCAGAGACGTGGACTGGATTCAGAGTCGTGGACTGGATTCAGAGTCGTGGACTGGATTCAGAGTCGTGGACTGGATTCAGAGTCGTGGACTGGATTCGGAGACGTGGACTGGATTCAGAGTCGTGGACTGGATTCAGAGGCGTGGACTGGATTCAGAGGCGTGGACTGGATTCAGAAGCGTGGACTGGATTCAGAGTTGTGAGTGGATTCAGAGTCGCGGACTGGATTCAGAGACGTGGACTGGATTCAGAGTCGTGGACTGGATTCAGAGGCGTGGACTGGATTCAGAGGCGTGGACTGGATTCAGAGTCATGGCCTGGATTCAGAGCCATGCCTGGATTCACAGGCGTGGACTAGATTCAGAAGCGTGGACTGGATTCAGAGGCGTGGACTGGATTCAGAGTCATGGCCTGGATTCAGAGTCGTGGACTGGATTCAGAGGCGTGGACTGGATTCAGAAGCGTGGACTGGATTCAGAGTCGTGGACTGGATTCAGAGTCGTGGACTGGATTCAGAGTCGTGGACTGGATTCGGAGACGTGGACTGGATTCAGAGTCGTGGACTGGATTCAGAGGCGTGGACTGGATTCAGAGGTGTGGACTGGATTCAGAAGCGTGGACTGGATTCAGAGTCGTGGACTGGATTCAGAGGCGTGGACTGGATTCAGAGTCATGGACTGGATTCAGAGCCATGGACTGGACTTAGTGTCATGGACTGGACTAAGAGTCATGGCCTGGATTCAGAGCCATGGACTGGACTGAGATTCATGCAGCAGACCGAGAATCATGGAGCGGATTAGGAGTCATAGAGTCAACTACGAATCATGGGACTGGACTAAAAAGTCATGGAGCGGGACTAAGCGTCATGGACCAGACTGAGAGTCAAGGACCGGATTCAGAGTGGTGGAACTAGACTAAGAGACCTGGACCAGACTGAGAGTCAAGGACCGGACCCAGAGTGGTGGAACTGGACGACTAAGAGACGTGGACCAGACTGAGAGACATGGAGCGGCCTCGATCAACTTCACATATGTGAGCCATCGTCAATGAAAAAAATTACACACACACACACAAAACACAAACCACTGATATTCCCGTCGCTGATCTCGTGAAGGAAATGAACGGTGGCGAGACGTCGCCAGTGCGACACACGCACGCACAAACACGCACGCGCGCGCATGGGCGCACGGCGCTGCCAGTTCCACGGGAGAGTGGCGCTGGCGCTAATTGGAGGTGTCAGAGTGGACGCTGCCGGGGCCGTCAGCCGGAGACGGCGTTTTTGCCTCCTGCCAGCGACCGTTCGTCTGCAACGAGAGAGAGAGGGAGAGAGGGGAGGGCAAACGACGTCATCGGCCGGGCGTCTCTGACGTCGTGGGCACAGGCGCTCGCTAACAGACGATCCGCGCCACGATTCATCGGCGCCACCACCGCCATCTCCCGCGGTTCCTGCCACGGCGACGATCCGATCCCCCGTGTCCGCGCACGAGCCGATTCCGTCGCTCCATCGCTCTCGCCGCCTGGAGGAACGCGCCGCTGGGACGCCGCGGCTGACAACAGAACCGATGGCCGGGGAACGGTCAACTCTGTTCGTTGTTAGTTTTTTGTTGTTGTTCTTCCAGCGCACACTCCGATTAGCATGGTGGGCTACATACGGTGCGAAAGAAGGTCAACACAGCCCATAGACTCAACACTGTCCATAGACTCAACACTGCCCATAGACTCAACACTGCCCATAGACTCAACACTGCCCATAGACTCAACACTGCCCATAGACTCAACACCGCCCATAGACTCAACGCCACCTGTAGACTTAACACTGCCCATAGACTCAACGATGCCTATAGACTCAACACTGCCCATAGACTCAACACTGCACCATAGACTCAACACTGCCCATAGACTCAACACTGCCCATAGACTCAACACTGCCTATAGACTCAACACTACCTATAGACTCAACACTGCCCATAGACTTAACACTGCCCATAGATTCAACACTGCCCATAGACTCAACACTACCCATAGACTCAACACTGCCCATAGACTCAACACTGCCCATAGACTCAACACTGCCCATAGACTCAACACTGCCCATAGACTCAACACTACCCATAGACTCAACACTACCCATAGACTCAACACTGCCCATAGACTCAACACTGCCCATACACTCAACACTGCCCATAGACTCAACACTACCCATAGACTCAACACTACCCATAGACTAACACTGCCCATAGACTCAACACTGCCCATAGACTCAACACTACCCATAGACTCAACACTACCCATAGACTCAACACTGCCATAGACTCAACACTGCACCATAGACTCAACACTGCCCATAGACTCAACACTACCCATAGAATAAACACTGCCTATAGACTCAACACTGCCCATAGACTCCAGACTGCCCATAGACTCAACACTGCCCATAGACTCAACGCTGCCCATAGACTCCAGACTGCCCATAGACTCAACACTGCCCATAGACTCAGCGCTGCCCGTAGACTCAACGCTGCCCATAGACTCAACACCGCCCATAGACTCAACACTGCCCGTAGACTCAACGCTGCCCATTGATTCAACACTGCCCATAGACTCAACACTGCCCATAGACTCAACACTACCCATAGACTCAACACTGCCTATAGACTCAACACTGCCCATAGACTCAACACTGCCCATAGACTCAACACTGCCCATAGACTCAACGCTGCCCATTGATTCAACACTGCCCATAGAATCAACGCTGCTCGTAGACTCAACACTGCCCATAGATTCAACGCTGCCCATAGACTCAACACTGCCCATTGACTCAACGCTGCCCATAGACTCAACGCTGCCCATAGACTCAACACTGCCCATAGACACAACACTGCCCATAGACTCAACACTACCCATAGGCTCAACACTGCCCATAGACTCAACACTGCCCATATACTCAACACTGCCTATAGACTCAACACTGCCCATAGACTCAACACTGCCCATAGAATCAACGCTGCTCGTAGACTCAACGCTGCCCGTAGACTCAACACTGCCCATAGACTCAACACTGCCCATAGACTCAACAGTGCACTGTAGACTCAACACTGCCCATAGACTCAACACTGCCCATAGACTCAACACTGCCCATAGAATCAACACTACCCACAGACTCAACACTGCCCGTAGACTCAACACTACCCACAGACTCAACACTGCCCGTAGACTCAACACTACCCACAGACTCAACACTGCCCGTAGACTCAACGCTGCCCATAGACTCAAAACAGCACCATAGACTCAACACTGCCCGTAGACTCAACACTGCCCATAGACTCAACACTGCCCATAGACTCAACACTGCCCGTAGACTCAACACTGCCCATAGACTGAACACTGCACCATAGACTCAACACTGCCCGTAGAATCAATACTGCTACCCATAGACTCAACACTACCCATAGATTCAACACTGCCCATAGACTCAACACTACCCATAGACTCAACACTGCCCATAGACTCAACACTGCCCATAGACTCAACACAGCCCATAGACTCAACACTGCCCATAGACTCAACACTACCCATAGACTCAACACTACCCATAGACTCAACACTGCCCATAGACTCAACACTGCCCATACACTCAACACTGCCCATAGACTCAACACTACCCATAGACTCAACACTACCCATAGACTAACCCTGTCCGTAGACTCAACACTGCCCATAGACTCAACACTACCCATAGACTCAACACTACCCATAGACTCAACACTGCCCATAGACTCAACACTGCACCATAGACTCAACACTGCCCATAGACTCAACACTACCCATAGAATAAACACTGCCTATAGACTCAACACTGCCCATAGACTCCAGACTGCCCATAGACTCAACACTGCCCATAGACTCAACGCTGCCCATAGACTCCAGACTGCCCATAGACTCAACACTGCCCATAGACTCAGCGCTGCCCGTAGACTCAACGCTGCCCATAGACTCAACACCGTCCATAGACTCAACACTGCCCGTAGACTCAACGCTGCCCATTGATTCAACGCTGCCCATAGACTCAACACCGCCCATAGACTCAACACTGCCCGTAGACTCAACGCTGCCCATTGATTCAACACTGCCCATAGACTCAACACTGCCCATAGACTCAACACTACCCATAGACTCAACACTGCCTATAGACTCAACACTGCCCATAGACTCAACACTGCCCATAGACTCAACACTGCCCATAGACTCAACGCTGCCCATTGATTCAACACTGCCCATAGAATCAACGCTGCTCGTAGACTCAACACTGCCCATAGATTCAACGCTGCCCATAGACTCAACACTGCCCATTGACTCAACGCTGCCCATAGACTCAACGCTGCCCATAGACTCAACACTGCCCATAGACTCAACACTGCCCATAGACTCAACACTACCCATAGGCTCAACACTGCCCATAGACTCAACACTGCCCATATACTCAACACTGCCTATAGACTCAACACTGCCCTTAGACTCAACACTGCCCATAGAATCAACGCTGCTCGTAGACTCAACGCTGCCCGTAGACTCAACACTGCCCATAGACTCAACACTGCCCATAGACTCAACAGTGCACTGTAGACTCAACACTGCCCATAGACTCAACACTGCCCATAGACTCAACACTGCCCATAGAATCAACACTACCCACAGACTCAACACTGCCCGTAGACTCAACACTACCCACAGACTCAACACTGCCCGTAGACTCAACACTACCCACAGACTCAACACTGCCCGTAGACTCAACGCTGCCCATAGACTCAACACAGCACCATAGACTCAACACTGCCCGTAGACTCAACACTGCCCATAGACTCAACACTGCCCATAGACTCAACACTGCCCGTAGACTCAACACTGCCCATAGACTGAACACTGCACCATAGACTCAACACTGCCCGTAGAATCAACACTGCTACCCATAGACTCAACACTACCCATAGACTCAACACTGTCCATAGACTCAACACTGCCCATAGACTCAACACCACCCATAGACTCAACACTGCCCATAGACTCAACACTACCCACAGACTCAACACTGCCCATAGACTCAACACCACCCATAGACTCAACACTGCCCATAGACTCAACACCACCCATAGACTCAACACTACCCACAGACTCAACACTGCCCATAGACTCAACACTACCCACAGACTCAACACTGCCCATAGACTCAACACTACCCACAGACTCAACACTGCCCATAGACTCAACACTGCCCATACACTCAACACTGCCCATAGACTCCACACTACCCATAGACTCAACACTACCCATAGACTCAACACTACCCATAGACTCAACACTGCCCATAGACTCAACGCTGCCCGTAGACTCAACGCTGCCCATAGACTCCAGACTGCCCATAGACTCAACACTGCCCATAGACTCAACACTGCCCATAGACTCAACACTGCACCATAGACTCAACGCTGCCCATAGACTCAACACTGCCCGTAGACTCAACACCGCCCATAGACTCAACACTGCCCGTAGACTCAACGCTGCCCATTGATTCAACACTGCCCATAGACTCAACACTGCACCATAGACTCAACACTACCAATAGACTCAACACTGCCTATAGACTCAACACTGCCCATAGACTCAACACTGCCCATAGACTCAACACTGCCCATAGACTCAACGCTGCCCATTGATTCAACACTGCCCATAGAATCAACGCTGCTCGTAGACTCAACACTGCCCATAGATTCAACGCTGCCCATAGACTCAACACTGCCCATTGACTCAACGCTGCCCATAGACTCAACGCTGCCCATAGACTCAACACTGCCCATAGACTCAACACTGCCCATAGACTCAACACTACCCATAGGCTCAACACTGCCCATAGACTCAACACTGCCCATATACTCAACACTGCCTATAGACTCAACACTGCCCATAGACTCAACACTGCCCATAGACTCAACACTGCCCATAGACTCAACGCTGCCCATTGATTCAACACTGCCCATAGATTCAACGCTGCCCATAGACTCAACACTGCCCATAGACTCAACAGTGCACTGTAGACTCAACACTGCCCATAGACTCAACACTGCCCATAGACTCAACACTGCCCATAGACTCAACAGTGCACTGTAGACTCAACACTGCCCATAGACTTAACACTGCCCATAGACTCAACACTGCCCATAGACTCAACACTGCCCATAGACTCAACACTGCCCATAGACTCAACACTGCCCGTAGACTCAACACAAGCGGCCTTCATCAGGTGATGGGACGAGACTGTCTCGAGGACAGCGTCCCTTCACCTGATGAAGGCCACTTGTGTTGTGGCCGAAACGTCGTGAGAATTTCATCGTGTTATTTCATTAATTCATTACTTTATTCTCATTCTACGTGGTGACTTTACCGAAAGGACCAAGGAAGATAAAATGACATCGTCGTCATCATCGCTACCGAGGCCACGTGGGTAGGGCGTGCGTCACGGATCCGGCGTCGGCCACAGGGGCGCCGGATCCAACGAACGCCAAGCGGGACGCCGGCCCCGCGCGGCCCGCAGACGCCTTCGGGGGCGGGGCGGGGTTTATTTTGGGCGCGTTTGCAGCTTTCCCGAATGGACTGCCGTCTGCCTGACGGTCGTGTGACGGGCGTGAACTTCCCGCATGGCAGAGCAAGATGATGGGGGGGGGGGGGGAAGTCACGGGCTGAATCTCTGCCGTGTGCACCAGAGCGGCACTCGGAGATGTCTCCCAGGCTGGAGGGAGGGGAGGATATTTCCGAAGGGATTCCCCCCCGCCCACTCTCGTCTCGTGATGACGACAACGTCACGGCGACGCCGTGACGACGCCGTGACGTCACCGTGACTACGCCGTAACGACAATGACGTGACGTCACCGTGACGTCGCCGTGACGACGCCGACACCGCGACATCGCCGTGACGACGACGTCGTGACGTCGCCGTGACGACACCGACACCGTGACGACGCAGTGGCGACGCAGTGACAACGCCGTGACGACGACGACGCCGTGACAACGACGACGCTGTGACGACGCCGTGACGATGACACCGTGATGACACCGTGATGACACCGTGATGACGCCGTGACGATGACACCGTGATGACGCCGTGACGACGACGCCATGACAACGACGACCTCGTGACGACGTCTCCGTGACGACGACGCCGGTGGCGGTAAAACTTGACGGGGGACGTCGGGGGACCGCGGCACGGCCGGCGACTTACGGTGAGAGGTTGTGGACTGTACATGTGGCGCGCCCCCACGGGGTCACTGTATCCGACGGTCTGATTGATATGGCGAAGGGAAGCTACCTGCACAACGGGAGACACACGGAACACACACGCTTGACAGGAGACACACGGAACACACAGACACACGGAACACACAGACACACGGAACACACAGACACACGGAACACACAGACACACGGAACACACAGACACACGGAACACACAGACACACGGAACACACAGACACACGGAACACACAGACACACGGAACACACAGACACACGGAACACACAGACACACGGAACACACACACACACGGAACACACACACACACGGAACACACAGACACACGGAACACACACACACACGGAACACACAGACACACGGAACACACACACACACGGAACACACACACACACGGAACACACACACACACGGAACACACACACACACGGAACACACACACACACGGAACACACACACACACGGAACACACAGACACACGGAACACACAGACACACGGAACACACAGACACACGGAACACACAGACACACGGAACACACAGACACACGGAACACACAGAGACACAGAACACACACACACACGGAACACACACACACACACGGAACACACACACACACGGAACACACACACACACGGAACACACACACACACGGAACACACACACACACGGAACACACACACACACGGAACACACACACACACGGAACACACAGACACACGGAACACACAGACACACGGAACACACAGACACACGGAACACACAGACACACGGAACACACAGACACACGGAACACACAGACACACGGAACACACAGACACACGGAACACACAGACACACGGAACACACAGACACACGGAACACACAGACACACGGAACACACAGAGACACGGAACACACACACACACGGAACACACACACACACGGAACACACACACACACGGAACACACACACACACGGAACACACAGACACACGGAACACACAGACACACGACAGGAGATGCACGGAACACACAGACAAGCACGCACACGTGTTCAGTTTCATCATGACGACGATGAGGATAATGGCGACGGTGGGATGGGTGGGTTGAGGTGGTGCTGATTAAGCTGCCGGCATGCACGGCTGAAACGTTGGACATCCGCGAGGAGCGACACGCAATCCCAAAACGCGTCGGCAGGGCCATGAATGTAAAATCCGCAAAAAAGAAAACAAGGCCGGATGGGAGGGCTGAGCTCTCTGTGGCTGTGAGATGTTGACTACCTCGCCTGGTGTACAGGAGGTCATGGGTTCAATTCCGACCCTGACGCCTGCTGCTGTATATTTGGAGTTTGCGTGTCTCTCTCTCTCTTTCATCATCACGGTGGCTAGGAGATGTTAACTACCTCGCCTGGTATACAGGAGGTCGTGGGTTCGATCCAAACCCTGACAATGCCTGCTGTATATTTGGAGTTTGCGTGTCTCTCTCTCTCTCATCGTCATCACGGTGGCTAGGAGATGTTAACTACGTCGCCTGGTATGCAGGAGGTCGTGGGTTCGATCCAAACCCTGACAATGCCTGCTGTATATTTGGAGTTTGCGTGTCTGTCTCTCTCTCATCATCATCATGGTGGCTGGGAGATGTTAACCACCTCGCCTGGTGTACAGGAGGTCGTGGGTTCCATCCCGACACTGACGCCCGCTGCATATTTGGGAGTTTGCGCGTCTCTCTCTCTCTCTCCGTGGTCGTGTGGATTTTTCTCCGGGTCCTCCGGATTTTTCCCTCCACAGTTGGAATCGACGTCACCACGCGTTGTGAGATTTTTGGCTGCTGCTAGACATTTCCACGTGATTTTGATGATGATAAGCCCACTTCGTTCATGACAGCTTCTGAAAAATATCTACTTAGCTCAGTGGGACCTCACCTGGTAAAATAAAAAAAAATAAGAGTTTCGTTTTTTTGTTTTAGTTTTAGTTTAGTTACGCCGAATGCCGCCAATTTCAAACGAAGGCTGTAAACTCCCTGGAGGGCGACGTTCAGAGCGACCGAACCTCCTGAGAATCACTGCCCGACCCAGCGGGCAGGCGTTTTTTTCCCCCGCACCGCCAACTCAACTTGATCCATTGAATGGTGCAGGTTTTTTTTGGGGGGGTTTAGACCGCGTGAATGTATGAAAGCTTCGATTTAAAGCTTTCGTGACTGCAATGATTCATCTTCTTTGGTTCTTTCGGTAAAGTCACGTAGAATGATAATAAAATAATAAATTGATAAAATAAAATAACACAATAATATTCTCACGACGTTTCGGCCACAACACAAGCGGCCTTCATCAGGTGAAGGGACGAGACTGTCTGGTAGGACAGCGCTGGAGTGAGAGAGCCACGTTCAGATCACGGCCTTTAAGCTGTGTGAGAGGAACAAAGCGCCTTGACAAAGGAATTAGCATATAATTTAGCATTGAAATGGCTGAATGATTAGCTTGTGACTGGTCACAGAAATAGCTATGTTAAAAGTTAAAGCATACACACCCGCAGAGGCACCCATTGTTAAAGGGATTAGCATAGAATTTAGCATTGAAATAGCTAAGTTAAGGCCTACACATCTTGACAAATTTGTTCCTCTCACACAGCTTAAAGGCCGTGATCTGAACGTGGCTCTTTCACTCCAGCGCTGTCCTACCAGACAGTCTCGCCCCCCTTCACCTGATGAAGGCCGCTTGTGTTGTGGCCGAAACGTCGTGAGAATATTATTGTGTTATTTTATTTTATCAATTTATTATTTTATTCTCATTCTACGTGACTTTACCGAAAGAACCAAAGAAGATGTATGAAAGCTGTCGCTAAAACCCACCACCGCCCGTCACAGCCAATTAGCGAGGTTGTGTCACGTGAACAGAACGTGGACAATTCGTCACTAGTGCAGCATACGGGCCGGTTGTAGAGCGAATCCACAACATTTGCAAGCTGAGTACGACATCAGCCTGATGAAGCTAGCTGTAATTACTGGCGAAACGTCGTGCTCTGCCTTACCAATTGGCCGTGTCGGGTGGTGGCGGGTTTAACGACACGTTCATTTATTTACGCGATCTAACCCAACGGGAAAAAAAAAACTGTGTCATGAATGATATTGGTCGCGAAAGCGGGCGTGTTAAACTAATACATTAAACTTTTTATTTTATTTCACCAGGTATGAGGCCCACTTTTTTTCAGAAGCGACCCGGCTATCAGAAATGACAGCTGAACGAAGTGGGCTTATCATCATCGTCGTCATCATCATCATCTCGTGTGGAAAATTACAGCAGTCGCCAAATACACTGAGCGTGCGACGTCCATTCTACATGTGGAGGGATTAAACCGGAGGACCCGAAAAAAAATCCACGCTACCATGGAGAGAGACACGAAGACTCCAAATATACAGCAGCAGGCGTCAGGGTCGGGATCGAACCCACGGCCTCCTGCATACCAGGCGAGGTAGTTAACATCTACTAGCCACCGTGATGATGAGAGAGAGAGAGACGCAAACTCCAAATATACAGCAGCAGCAGGCGTCAGGGTTGTGATCGAACCCACGGCCTCCTGCGCACCAAGCGAGGTAGTCAACATCTCCTAGCCACCGTGATGATGATGAGAGAGAGAGACACGCAAACTCAAACTATACAGCCGCAGGCATCTTGGTCTGGATCTAACCCACGACCTCCAGGCGTGGGATAGTTCCCAATCGGCGATTCGTTCGTGTCGCGACGCCGATAGCGGCCGTCACGGCGACATTTGGGTGAGGGGATGGTGGTGGTGGTGGTGGCAAAAAAACATGACGGTGACAGTTTTGTTGTTTTTAAAGATGGATATATCCGCGCAGAATGCTCAAGGATGCACGCGGTGTATTTTACCCCCCCTCATTCCACTGGAACACCGTAGCCGTGCCAGCGCCGGTGCCTACACAGCACCGGTGGTTTGGTGCTTTGCCGAGCCGGGTCGTGACCGCACAAGAGGGGTGGGGGGGGGGGGGTAGCGTTTGTAGCCTGGCTTGGGAGGCCAATCAGGACCACTGGTGGGGAGGTTAATGGAAAGCAAGAGTGTTCATTTCAGGATCAGCATATTGTATTTGTACTGGAGGAATCCGATGAGCTGTGAGGCTCCAGCAGCAATGACGCGTCGGCACGTCACGTCGGTCGGTGCCGACGGAGCGAGGACGCGGCATCACCACCGCGGCGTCTATGCAGTGGATGGGGGAAAAAAAAAAGTGCTGGCTCGGCAACGGCTGCGGCATGGCTCGGTTGTGTCAGTGGAAAAAAAAATAAACGGTCCTGGCTCGGAATGGCTCGGTTGTGTCAGCGGAAAGGAAAGGAAAAAGAAAAACCGGTGCTGGCTCGGCACGGCTCGGTTGTGTCAGTGGAAAAAGAAAAAAAACCCGTGCTGGTTCGGCACATCTCGATTGTGTCAGTGTTAAGGAAAGGAAAAAGAAAAAAACCCGTGCTGGCTCGGCACGGCTCGGTTGTGTCAGTGGAAAAAGAAAAACCTGTGCTGGCTCGGCACGGTTCGGTTGTGTCAGTGGATAAAGAAAAACCCGTGCTGCCTCGGCATGGCTGGATTGTGTCAGTGGAAAGGGAAGGAAAAAGAAAAATCCCTTGCTGGCTCGGCACGGCTCCGTTGTGTCAGTGGAAAAAGAAAACAAACCCGTGCTGGCTCGGCACGGCTCCGTTGTGTCAGTGGGAGGGAAAAAAAAAATAAAGCGGAGGCATCGTATATATCGTGACATCCCCTACCTGTGATTGCACATGGCTCCCAACCTGTGAGGAGGAGAAGCTCTCGCCATTGAGACTCTGCATCATGAACAAGTCTCCTGCATTAGGCGAGCTAAAGGGCACGGAGGAACCTGGAAACAAGATAGTCCTGCCTGAGCGTTACGCTTTAACGGGAGGAGGTTTACGTGACGCGAGGTGGCTTAGTGTCGAGAGGGCGCCACCTGCGGAGAGACAGACAGGCGACGATGGGGACGACACTCAGATCCAGGAGACCCAGAGAGGGACTGCGATGCAATAATAAAAGGGTTTTTCCCCTTTTTTCTGGCAACAAAACTTAAACCTTTTTACAAGGATTCATGTTACTGCATTAACCACAATACCTGCAGTCAAAATGCAAACAAAAAACATACTATGATAATATATGTGGCATTGTCCTTGAAACTGATTGGTCCACACCAAGGGACGCCTTTTGGCGTCATCTGGTCGAGCACCAATTGGGTCGAGGCTCAAAAGAAAGCCGTCCCTTGGTTTGGACCAATCAGTTTCAAGGACAATGCCACATATTATCATAGTATGTTTTTTGTTTGCATTGAGCTTCCCTACGCAGCAATTTGCCACCCCCTGTCACGTTGTGTGGTTTTTTTGTCGTTTGCTTTCGTTTGTCCCTTGTCAACGTTCTGACCATGCCCCCCTGCCCCCCGAGCCCCACCACTTTACCGGAAATCTGTCGCAACAACAACAACAATATATAAAAAAGAGCATTGTAGTTCGCCGGATTCTTCCCCTCGAAATCGAGATTCCGATTCTTATTCTGATTCGCAAAATGAATAAATAAGCAAATGAATGAATAAATAAATAGATTGGCGAGGCCGGGGACAGAATATATACAGGGGACGCCTCTATTTACGAACATTCGACTCATGAACTTTCCGAGATCCGAACAAACCCGGTCCGTACAGTACATCTGAAAAACGTGAAGAACCAGTGGCATCTACATCTGCAGAACGTGAAGAACCAGTGGCATCTACATCTACAGAACGTGAAGAACCAGTGGCATCTACATCTACAGAACGTGAAGAACCAGTGGCATCTACATCTGCAGAACGTGAAGAACCAGTGGCATCTACATCTACAGTACGTGAAGAACCAGTGGCATCTACATCTGCAGAACGTGAAGAACCAGTGGCATCTACATCTGCAGAACGTGAAGAACCAGTGGCATCTACATCTGCAAAACGTGAAGAACCAGTGGCATCTACATCTACAGAACGTGAAGAACCAGTGGCATCTACATCTGCAGGACGTGAAGAACCAGTGGCATCTACATCTGCAGAACGTGAAGAACAAGTGGCATCTACATCTGCAGAACGTGAAGAACCAGTGGCATCTACATCTACAGAACGTGAAGAACCAGTGGCATCTACTTCTGCAGAACGTGAAGAACCAGTGGCATCCACATCTACAGAACGTGAAGAACCGGTGGCGTCAACATCTGTAGAACCTGAAGAACCAGTGGCATCTTCATCTGCAGAACACGAAGAACCAGTGGCATCTACGTCTGCACGACGTGAAGAACCAGTGGCATCTACATCTGTAGAACCTGAAGAACCAGTGGCATCCACATCTGCAGAACGTGAAGAACCAGTGGCATCTACATCTGCAGAACGTGAAGAACCAGTGGCATCTACATCTACAGAACTTGAAAAACCAGTGGCATCTACATCTACAGAATGTGAAGAACCAGTGGCATCTACATCTGCAGAACGTGAAGAACCAGTGGCATCTACATCTGCAGAACGTGAAAAACCAGTGGCATCTACATCTGCAGAACGTGAAGAACCGGTGGCATCTACATCTGCAGAACGTGAAGAACCAGTGGCATCTACATCTGCAGAATGCGAAGCACCAGTCGCATCTACATCAGCAGAACGTGAAGAACCAGTGGCATCTACATCTGCAGAACGTGAAGAACCAGTGGCATCTACATCTGCAGAATGCGAAGCACCAGTGGCATCTACATCTGCAGAACGTGAAGAACTAGTGGCATCTGCAGAACGTGAATAACCAGTGGCATCTACATCTGCAGAACGTGAAGAACCAGTGGTATCTGCAGAACGTGAATAACCAGTGGCATCTACATCTGCAGAACGTGAAGAACCAGTGGTATCTACATCTGCAGAACGTGAAGAACCGGTGGCATCTACATCTGCAGCACGTGAAGAACCAGTGACATCTGCAGAACGTGAAGAACCAGTGGCATCTACATCTGCAGAATGCGAAGCACCAGTCGCATCTACATCTACAGAACGTGAAGAACCAGTGGCATCTACATCTGCAGAACGTGAAGAACCAGTGGCATCTACATATGCAGAACGTGAAGAACCAGTGGCATCTACATCTGCAGAACGTGAAGAACCAGTGGCATCTACATATGCAGAACGTGAAGAACCAGTGGCATCTACATCTGCAGAACGTGAAGAACCAGTGGCATCTACATCTAGCAGTGGCATCTACGTCTACGGGAAATTATACAACTTTTAAAGCCCTTCCCCGTGTTTAGTGTACATGCCGTACAACGCGTTTGCAATCGACGAGAGTAAAAGTTTTGACTTATGAACCAATCGACTTATGAACAGACCTCTGGACCCTAGCTAGAGGCGTCCCTGTATTATAAAACAAAACAAGGAAATAATTAGGGGGAAAAATAAAATTTGCATTTTTTGGAGTAAAAAATTTAGGGGGGAAAAAAAGAAGGAAACATTAAAAAAGGGAAGGGAAAACACGAGGAGAGAAGGATCAATACGGAAGAAGAAAAATCAGGGAAGATATTTAGGATAAAGGGAAAGAAATTAGAAAAAAAAACTAGGGAAAATTAAGAAATAAAGGAATGAAAAAATGTTTTGAAAACAAAATGAAAGAATAAACCCTCCACGCACACTGCACGCCCCCCTCCTTCCCCACCTCCGTAGCAAACCGCTCGCTCGTTCCTCCGCTCCGTGCGCTTGGCCGCACTGAAGCCGAGACCCCGGCAGAGCGGCCTCTCCTAGTGCCATGGTGGCTAGGAGATGTTGACTACCTCGCCTGGTGTACAGGAGGTCGTGGGTTCCATCCAGACCTTGACGCCTGCTGCTGCTGTATATTTGGAGTTTGCGTGTCTCTCTCTCTCTCTCATCATCATCACGGTGGCTAGGAGATATTAACTACCTCGCCTGGTGTACAGGAGGTCGTGGGCTCGATCACGACCCTGACGCCTGCTGCTGTATATTTGGAGTCTGCGTGTCTCTCTCTCATCATCATCATCATCACGGTGGCTAGGAGATGTTAACTACCTCGCCTGGTGTACAGGAGGTCGTGGGTTTGATCACAACCCTAACACCTGCTGCTGTATATTTGAAGTTTGCGTCTCTCTCTCTCTCTCTCCGTGGTCGCGTGGATTTTTCTCCGGGTCCTCCTGGCTTTCACCCCTCCGCACCTACACAGCGTTTGGCTGCTGCGATGAATTTCCACGTGATGGCGAAAATCCGCCGCTTCGTTAGAGCCGTCGTCTGTCGCTTCTGACAAAGGGGCTTTCCGCAGTTCAGTGCTGGGCCTTACACCTAGTTCAAATTAAAAACAAAGACAGTGTGATATTCTTGGTTCTTTCGGTAAAGTCAAGACAGCGTCGTTTCTTAGTGGATGACAACGCTGAGGTCACTCTTGCCCGGGTTCTCCAGGGGCGAGTCTTCTCCAGTAGCATCGCGACTTGTTCACGCCGGAGCTACCGTTCGTATCAGACGGACAGAGCCAACGAGTCCGGTGTTATGCAGAGGTGACTCCCCTAACAGCCATACGACTTTACCCTAGAGCAGGGGTGTGGGGAACGTCCGGCCCGCGGGCCGTATTAGGCCCGCGGGCCGTATGAGGCCCGCGGGCCGGATGAGGCACCGAGAAGTCATTTGGGTCTCTGGCCCTTGCCAAAGGCAACCGCAATGGGGGGGGGGGACTCGAGAATTCAATGAATCTAGGAGAGCAAAACCTGGACAAGCAGTTTGCGAGCAGCAGCAACAGCGTCAGCAGCCGGCCAACATCGTCACACGCCTCGCCCAAAGAGAAGCAGTGCCAGCCCGTCGCATTAGGCGGTTTGAGTTAATTAAGCGTTTGAGCAAATATAAACGGGCTAATTATTTAAGTCGAGAATTTTTTTTTTTGCGTGGCCCGCGAATGATATTTACGTGAATATCCAAAATGGCCCTTGGCAGACAAAAAAGATTTCTCCTCCCTTGTCCTAGAGTCTCACTCATATCGGATCGACTCCAACGGGAGCTACCGTGAACCATCCCCCCCCACCCCCCCCACGTTACGCACGGACGGACAGACGAACGCTCTAGCGGATCGATGCTTTAAAAACTTGGTTTAGGAGGGGTGGGTGGGTGGGGTGGGGGGAGCGGTCTCCTGGATCTAAGTTTCGAGAGGCAGTGCAGCTTCATGCGGAGCGCAGGACAGCAGCGGTTGGGACAAAGGGCCATTGAAACATTCAGCGTGGATTCTTAGGGCAACTCCTGCTGAGGTGGCTAGGAGATGTTGACTACCTCGCCTGGTGTGCAGGAGGTTCGTGGGTTCCATTACGACCCTGACGCCTGCTGCTGTATATTTGGAGTTTGCGGTGTCTCTCATCATCATCATCATCACGGTGGCTGAGATGTTGACTACCTCGCCTGGTGTACAGGAGGTCGTGGGTTCGATCCCGACCCTGACGCCTGCTGCTGTATATTTGGAGTTTGCGTCTCTCTCTCTCTGTCTCCCCGCGGTCGCGTGGATTTTTCTCTGGGATCCTCCGTTTTTTTTCTTCCCCCCTTCACATTTAAAATCGTATTCGTGGCTCCCGATATCCATTTCCCGCTGAGTACCTAACCCCTCCAAAGCGGTTTAAAAAAAAAAGTTCAACGGTTTAAAACGCACGCGGGAATTTTTTTACACCTCGACTGAAGCGGGTCCAATCGAGCCAATGGCGTTACGTCGCCGGTTTAAACTCCACGTTCCCATGGCGGCGGGCGAGCGGGTAAGGACATCCATCGGTGGGCCACATGATCGCCCTTTGAGCGTCAGTCTCTTGATCTGACACCGGTGGTGAAACGGGGCCGTGACGCAGGTG